CTGGGGAATTCTGGGAGTTGAAGTCCGCACGCCTTAAAGTTGCCAAGGTTGAGAGACATTGGGATAGAGCTTCCAGCTGACAAATGGGTGGCTACAGGAGGGAGCTAACAAGCTTTGGATACCCAGTAAATGTTCTGGTTCCTCTACTGGCTTTAGGGCATGCCTTTACTAGGCGGTGCAAAGCCTCCTTAAAAGGTATTAAGGTTAGAAGAATATTCCAGGCAAGAAAAACATTCAGAATAGTCTGGAGATTTAAGACTAACTCACTCAAATACCAGGTAAGGTCTTTACGTGATCAAAGATTGGAGATTCATCTACTGTTTTTATGCCCAGATGTTCTTGCACCAGTGATATAGCCCTAATATTCACCTCTAATGCTTCTAGCTTTAAATACTTTGTGCCAGGTGAGTGGCTGATAAGATACCTCTCCTGGAATTAACTCAGGATGAAAATACCAGTCTGGTGTGCATCCCAGAGATCTGGGTGGAGAGAATTTTCCTCTGTGAGCTCCATCTGCCAAGTTTACTCTGCTGCAGCAGGCTGCACTGGGCAAGCAAGAGATGTCATATGACAGTCAGAAAGAGCCCTGATTTGCTGATCCATCCAACAGTCTCCCAGCGATGAGTGAACTGTAGGATGATGGAACAGAAAGGTCTTGTGGAGTATCCCTTCCTGAGCTAGTTGGGAGGATCTTGAAGATGGCTTTGAATTTCACAATGCTCCTGCATTTCAACATCTACATTGAGGCTGTTCTATAAAGAGTAGCTCAGGAGTTTATGTCCATGATAGTAACTACACTAATACCTAGTTTTCTGTGAGATGGATTATGTAGCAGGAATGGTTGGAAAGAAGGCCCTGGCGTTCAGAAAGCTGCATGGTCTCTAGAAGCGGTGGAGCTTTGCCTCACCCCCATCCCAACTCCTTCAGACCTTGTGTGATCTTTAGCAGTCAGTGGACTCCTGAAACTGGCCACATCTCTTTAGTGTCAAAATGAATTATTTCATGTATATAGGTCCACAATGTATCTGCTTAAAGAAAGAAGACTTCCGCTTTCTATTTTACCAGAACTCACCCTTTGGAAAATTTGCATCTTTCTTACCTGGTTGACAACCTTTTCCTGTTTCCTCCAAGATGTAAGGTTCTACATAAGGTAAAAAACAAAAAACACTGGTGTCTCAGCCTTGGGGACGGGCATCTGCCGGGGAATCAACATTTCAAGATGACAGACTGCACAATCAGACTCTCTATGCTTTGACCGTATGGATGCTGATGTCTTCTTGATCTTTTTGGCCTTAAACTCCTCTGCTTGGGATTTAGTTCCAGATGAATTAACCAGAATCACAGGTTCATCTGTTGAAAACGAAGCGTCCAGAATTGTCAGAACTGGTTCACTGACCTGATGTTGGTTGAGACAGTCAGCCAGATGTTTAGACTGGATTTGGCATTTTTATCCACCTGTTGAGTCCATCCCAAGGACCTGGGATAGGCAGATGTTGTTGTTGTTATTATTTGGGCAAAAACTGTCATTCCAACAATGAACATCTTATTCCAAAAGCTTTTGTGCTATGTGAAAGGCAAACATTGTTTTATGGTGCCTTATAAAAAAAGATGAATGATTCTTTTGGTCAGTGCAAACTCTGTCCTTTTTTGCCGGGTCTCCACTGCAAGGAGAGGCCCAAGAGATCCTCCAAGCAGCCTCCAGAAGGACGTAAAGCCCTTCTCTGCACCCAGTTTTAATGCCTGGCCTCTCCAGAGATGGCTGGGAAAGAAAGCCTACAGAAATACGGAGCTAATTGCCAGGACTCTTGAATGACATTCTTGGAGGATCAGAGCTTCTGATTTCACACAAGTCAGCTTTCCATGTTTAGAGTTTCCTAGCAAATCATATGTAGTGGTCTAGCTAAGAAGGGAAGAGGTGTTGTTGCTAGAAATGTCCAATGCATCCATAAGGCATTATGACACCACATAAGAGTCCATTGGAGTTGGGTGGCCAATAAATGTTAATTAATTAATTAATTAATTAATAAGACAGAAGCATGCAGGAAGAACAGATGGATGTTTTGTAACAGTACATGCTCTGTGTGCAAACTGCAATTATAATCTAAATTTCCACTTTGCTACTTCCTAGAACAAAATCATGTGGATGCCCATATCATAAAATAGCAGTATTATGGATAGTTTAGAACTTCTTCTTTTATAGGGAGTCCAAACGTTTGATAGTTCTGATCTGTACTGAAGCTGTCCGCGAAGCTGCGTTTAGAAAATAAAATTATGTGGTTTTACCTCTCTTGGAGCCATATTTATTTTACAGGGAGTGTTTTACATTCATGACATTATTTTGAGATGAATAATTTTCTGCAATAACAAAAGCCACCATCCTATTTTTCTGACTTGCAAACTGTCTCTAAGAAATAGACATTTTAATAGAGGCCAGTTTTGGATTATTCTTCATCTGTAATTCTGCACATTTCCAACTTCCTTATAAACCCAGCATTTTTTCCATTTTTTCCATTGTAATTTGTCACTAATGAGGCCCAAGAATGTTGAAGCATAAATACACGGGCTACTCTATCTTCCGCCTGTGATATTTTAACTGCCAATTTGACAGTTGGCTCTAATAAAGGTAAGGACTTTATTTGCAGCAGCAACAAAGTTGTGGGGTGAATTTGTCTCATGGCCACACACAACTCTAGTACTGCACACAAATACATATGGAAAATTCTTGCTAATATCTCCTGAGTTGGAGCAGGGACGTTATCCTGCCAAAATATACTAAGTGCTCGTCTTTAGAGAAATTCAGAGACGCACCCTTGGAAGATCGCTTCTTGAAACTGAAAAATGACAACAATAGAAACACGTATACCAAGTGTAATAGGACTGCCAGACAATTTTACATGGAAAAAACAAGATACCAGGATTTCCAGTTTTAGTTCTTTGGACGTTGCTGGTTTGCATAGTATCCGCCCTCCATTCTGAATATGCCCTTAGGTGATTAGGTAAAGCTTCCCGGACAGGTGGCCTGAGCCTGTCCCGTTGACCTCCCCTCCCCGTTGCTGGTTCCCCCATCAGCCTGCCCCGACTCGCAGAAGGCTGCCCAGGAGCAGCATCTGACCAGTTTTGTCCTGCGCTGGGGCTCGTCCCGTGCCCCCCCCAAGAGTTGGAATTAGCCTTCCTGTTCTTCCATGTTTACACTGTGCAGTGAGAGAGGCCAGGTCTTGACACAGCTACGTATGCACATTCACGATAGCGAGCTGATACCTGATGTGCTTTTGTAAAAATAAATAAGTAGCCTCAATCCCTTTTCCTTCACTTAGTCAAAAGCTAACAGTGTAATAGGTCAAACGGACCATTAAGCACACGTGCTACCGTGCAGGGAGCTGTCTCATGCAACTCCTCACATAATATTTTATGCCAAAGAAGCTTCATGTGGCATCAGCTTTCTCACAACTTGCAGATGACCGGCAAACGGGGAGAAAAGGCAAAGAGCTCTGAGAGTGCAAAGACAGAGACATTTGCAGACTGCCCAGATATTTTCGTCAAGACATCACTGGCTCCAAATGTAGCCCTTCGAGGTAGTCCAGTCAGGAAACCCAAACCATGAGTACTAACACTGCCTTTATTGTATGGTTGCAGTAACAGAGTCTTGCGAGTCTGAAAGCGCTTCCCTCCTCCCTGCCTTTACTTTCCAGGGGACTAGGGAGGGTCCCTTCGGAGATGCCTTCCCCACCTCATCCCTGCTTTGGACTCAGATTTCTGTTATCAGACCGTTGTCTGGACTGCGTCTCTTTCTCCTGTCTCCCAAGGTCATTCTCCCAGCCCATTACAGATAAGGCTGTTAAACAAGCTTCTTAGGTAAGAGCTCGCGCCTCTTGGATAGCCAGATAAATGCCAGAATGCCCAAACAATCTGTCCGCAGCTGCAACGGAAGCTGCATCAGTCAACTCAACAAAGACTTGATGTTAGAAGAGTCCCAATTTGCACCAGGAGCACAACTGGCATGGTCATCAGCACCAGGCTTCTGGGGAAGGGTGAGATCCCTTCAGCATAGAATAAGTGGCAGGTGAGTGGGGAGAAGAGAGTGGGCAAGTGCACCACTTCAAAACGGCAAGCGGAGCAGGCAGAGGAGGAGAGCAGTGGGGTGGTGGAGTGGGGAAAAGAGTGAGAAACCCAGAAGG